TAAGCATACTTAAGATCTAAGGGTAGCGGTTTCAAATCCAACTCAGGTGGTTGGACAAGGGAGGGCAACTGTCTGGGTACATTTTTAGGCAGCTCTAGAGTATGAGTTAAAGAAACAGTTTTAACCTCAGATAACATTTTAACATATTTATGAATTTCTGAATTTACAGTGTATGGAGAGAATTTCAAGGATTCAGGATCCAGACTATTGGACACCACACTCAAAAGCTCATCCTGATTTGATAATTGAAAAACATCTTGTGCCATTTCATCAATGATGTCGAATGTAAAAACTTGATTGAGTTGATCAAGAAACTTCATTGCTTCAAAAATATTAAACTTAATAACTTCATTTTCAAATTCTAAGGACAAAGTTCCTGCATCAACATCAATTTTGGCCTTAGCAGTTTTCAAAAAAGGTCTGCCTAGAAGGAGTGGGATGCCTGAATAATCCTTTCCCATGTTAAGGACATAAAAGTCAGCAGGAAAGAGCATGTCATTGACCTGGACCAAAACATCCTCAACCACCCCTTCAGGGTAAGTCAAACTCCTATCAGCAAGTTGAATAACTACCCCAGTCTCTTTTAGTTCTCCTACCCCCAACTGGTCAAATAACTCCCTAGGCATGACATTGATGGATGCTCCTAAATCAAGTAAAGCCTTGGTATTCTCCAAATTTCCAATCTTACAATATACAGAAAACACACCAGGGTCCTGACATTTCTGTGAAAGTTTCTTTTGAAAGATGGCAGATACATTTTCACTAATGTTTACCCTCTCATCCCCTTTCAGCCTTCTTTTATTAGTGCACATCTCTTTCAAAAATTTTGCATATTTTGGATCATTTTTTATTGCATTTAAAAGAGGAATGTTCACTTGAACCTTTTTAAACATTTCAAATATTTCATCATCTGGCTCTTTACTATTCTTCCTTTGATTCTGATATTTACTGGGGAAGGGTGGCTGAGGTTTGTAAACTGCCCTAGGAGTGTCAGGAGTCACAACAGATTTATTGTTGACCAATTCAGGTTCTTGGATTTTCTGTGAGTCTAGTTCATTTTCCATAATTTCTTGATCCCTTCTAACATTCCCTAAGGAAGGTTCAGGAAGTACCTTGTTATTCCTAAGGACAACAACACTCACATTCTCCTTAGGAGCAGGAAATGGTTGAGCAGGTAACCTGATGTTAATTTGGGCCTACAAATTACTCAACAAGGTATCCTGGGCTGTTTGCCTTTCTTGCATTCGCTTCATATTCTAATCAACCAGGGAGAACTTGTCCTCCATTTTTTTCAAAATTACTTCCAGCATTTGGTGTGTTTTATCAACACGACCAGGAGGGTTGTTTAGATTTGCA